GCGGGCCACAGCAGCAGTGGGACGTTGGTTCCGAGCAGTGAAATAGGGGGTGGGACGAAAACATTATTGGTAGGTGACAGGATGTGATATCAGCTGATAAGATCTGATAATGGGCATTAGAAGGGAAGGACTACCAAATTCATAGTGCGGCTCACAGGAACAGTGGGACGTTGGTTCCGAGCAGTGAAATAGGGGGAGGGACGAAGGAATTATTGGTGGGGGACCGGATGTGATATCAGCTGATAAGATCCGATAAGGGGTCTCGGAAGGGGAGGATCACCAAATTTGTAACGCAGGTTACAGCAACAGCGGGACTTTGGATCCGAGAGGTGATGAAGGGTGTGGGACGAAGGAATTATTGGTGGGGGACCGGATGTGATATCAGCTGATACGATCTGATAGGGGTCTCGGAAGGGGAGCATCACCAAATTTGTAACGCAGGTTACAGCAACAGTGGGACCTCGGATCCGAGAGGTGATATAGGGTGATATGATAGTGATACGGGACGGGAATATTATTGGCGGGTACGGAAGTGATAGGAGCTAAAAGTGACAAGGTAACATGGGAAAATCCGCTTCACCGCTCACAACAACAATGCGATCGATATGACTCAAGTATAACGATCTCAATGATTCCAACAGAACTCATTCCTCACTGCTTATTAGTAACGACATCATGTACGACCGCTAAGCTAGCTCTATTCCAAATGCATGGGGTTTGTTTACAGAGATGTTATGAACAGCAGCAATGACTTAATCACTCTTACCACAATTATCTTCCATCAACAACCTTAGTGAGGGCCATTTAAAGGTTCCACTGCTGAATGCGGGAGTGCATTCCAAAGCAAGACGCTTTAAGGCGACAGAATGCATGAATCATAGGCTGCTTCAGCGGCTAACCTAACAGGCTGCACTATTCCCGTGTAGGTTATGAACGTACCAGTCGGATCGCTGGCTAAGGCCGGCTCTCCTCCTTCTGTGATGCGGCGGGCGCTGCTGCTGCTTCTGCGTCTTGACGGAACGGGCGCTGCTTTTCAGTTCTTGGCTGATGCAGAAGATTCCTTTGAACAGTGTGGTTGGTCAACGATCCTTAACTTAGCACGCGGCAAATCCGCATGGCCCGGCGAAGCCGGGCCATGTCACAGAAGGAGGAGCGTCCGGCGATAGCTGGGCGATTCGTCTGGTACAATGAATACTCGCGCTAGCAGCCGATTATGTGTAGTACGCTACTTCACTGGAGGATGTCAACAAGAAAATATTGTGGTAGTAAGATTGAGATTTCCGCAGAATAATACAAGGACGCTGAGAAAGTCTTATACCTTTGGCCTCGTAAGTGGCGCAGAATTCAGTACTTCTTTATTCTTGAAAACTCAAACTCACGCATTGATGACTCCACCGTTTACTCCAACAGCAACAACATCGCTGATTCGTCGTGACTTCGTGTAATGGAAACGAACAGGCATTGTTTCCTTTGTGAAAACGCGAGCATAATCGCCAGTTTGGCACCTCAAGCGCTCTAGCACATTGTCATGGGTCAACGCTAAAAAAAACCACATGTATGAGACGGTCTAGAATCAAGCCATGGAACTGTTTGAAAATTACTTGAGTTTATCCGGAAAATCTGCGCTTCAGCACCATACGAAACAAACAGACCAGTTATATTCATGAAATCCTCAAGCACGTGGCTAGTGATGCGACTCATTCCTGGATAGAATTATTGTTCCTAGTAAACCAATAAATAAGAGGCCACAGATTCATAGTCAAATTCATTCATTTGCGAGTACAATGAGTGGCGGGGGCGCTGCGGTCAGAATAACTTTTTAATGCGGTATATCTACGGCATAGCGTATCCAACTCATTGTGATCTTGATTACTTGGCAAGTTTTATCGTTGTGTCCCACCACACTATAACTTATGGTGGCCGCGATGCTCTCGTCACCCATTTTGGGCATTGCGAAAGTGTGACGATCTTCGTGATTCGCCTATCTGGGCAGATCACGAAGATCGTGACAGATCCTAAGAAATCCTACAATTAGGCTGAGCGCGGGGTCCGTTTTAAGGTTAGAAGGTCCCATGGAAAAATTCAATTGACTAATTTCATGAGAAATAACTTACCGTGATCTGATATTATGGCTAGATTCATACAAGCTAGAAATCCTTCTCGGTCAAGGTCATCAAGAAGCCGTCCAAGTACATGGTCCATCGTTTTCAGCATTTCGCTGAGCTGAACAAGTCACTTTTTCATTTTTCTGTTCAAAACTGCTGATATGAGCAGACTTGTATACCATTTCAAGTTTAAATTCGGACACTTTTCAAACCAAATCGGACACTTTTCAAATCAAATCGGACACACCCCTTACAATGGGCAGTTGAGAACTAGACCACACTAGGTACTGCTGCAAGCCCCGCCCCAACAATCCTGCCCACTTCTTAGCGCGGCTGTGGTACTACTTGGCACACATACGCACATTTAACTAAATAGGTTTGTTACCGACACATATGTATATGACTCCGCCCACTTCACAATGATGTGACGTAAGATCTGAATCTTTATCACTTTTTTTCGACGTCTTATCCGTTTTTTGTTCACATTCGCAATTTCACAAGTACGAATATTGGCCTGCATCTTATTAACTCGCTAGCAACACTAAGGCCCGCCGCCCTACAACGGCGCTTCGCTCAAAGTGGGCGAGGTTTCATTAGCTGCGGGGGCCGGCTATGTCACATCGCAAAAAACTGAAAATTCGAAGAAATAATCGACAAATTCGGGCAGTCAAATGAAACGAAAGTGAAATCACCTAAAACAAGTTCCATTTTCTTTTTAGTAATCTTTCCATTTTTTTCATGTCCATGTCACTCGGAGAGTCATAACGTGCTATAGTACGGTCCACTAGCCGCCGGTGCTGGAGTCATTTTGTAAAGGTGGGGCGGGCTTATACAAAGTGGGCGGAGCTTTAATCAGTGGACGGGGCCGCTTGTCACAGCCTAAAAAAGTGAAAATTCGGGAGAAAAATGAAAATTCCGCGAAAATTGAAAGTGGGCGTGGTCAGAGGGGCGAGGCTTAGTGTGCTAGTGTGTAAATGCATGGCTATATTCGTTTTGTGAAGATTGTGAAAAAAACGACGTCGAAAAAAGTCGTAGAAATTCAGAACTTACGTCCCTTCATTGTGAAGTGGGCCGGAACGGAGTCATATATATGTGTTGGTAGCAAACCTATTCAGTTAAATGTGTGTGTCAAGTAGCAAAAGTGAAAAAAAATTCGAAGAAGCAGAATTCATAAAACATTTGGAAAACCACGGCCGCGCTAAGAAGTGGGCGGGGTGTTGGGCGGGGCTTGCCGATTTGGTTTGAAAAGTGTCCGATTTGGTTTGAAAAGTGTCCGATTTGGTTTGAAAAGTGTCCGATTTAAAGTGAAAATGGTATATATTGATGGAATAGTCTGTGTTTCGAGCCCTTGCTAGGATTAAACCGGATTGGCGACTTGAGCCTACACCCCCAACCACTCGGCTATCCCCCCCCCTTTCGGTGCACCCTGACGGTCACGAGGAATTCCAGTGCAGTGTCTAATGTTGCGGATACACATCCACCAGTGAATTTTCGGACAGCGCAGCGCTGCCGTATGACGTACCATATTAGTTCACGTCTTCCAATCTAGGGAGGCAAAATGCATAAATACTTGCTTCTTGGAATGCTTTCCTTTTCAGCAAGAAGGAACGGCATTCATGACGTTGATGCTCCCACAGCAGGCCACACTGATTGGTCGAAAGTTGAAAGATATTATGAAAAGGGTGAGCAACAAATAACTAAAAGATCGTGATGCTGTGAGAGACTAGGTAAATCGGACGGTAGTTCGCAGAATTCTGCAGGGCAGCTCTTCTTCTAAATGAGAATCACCTTGCTCTCTTGCTAGCTCTTCTGCGTCTCCTCAGCATCGACTTGAATACCTCGTCGACAGTTCTACAGAGCACCTACATGACATGGGCACAGGTTAACCGCCATCTCGTCAGAGTATCTTGTTTCTTGACTTTATCTTCATGAAAACCGCTTCTAATTCATACTTCGAGGCAGAGGAACGGCGGTGTCGTGTTCCGCACGACTTCATCGCACAGTCCGCCCTCACGTCATGTCCGTCACGCACTTTTACAAGTGCAACGTCAGCTGGACCAGAATGGTTGCAGGGCCGTCTTCACAGTCCGCTCTGTGGTCTTACCACACAATACGTGTTCGCTGACTATTCGATGGAGCTTCCCATTTTGGGCCCGCGAGCAGTTTTTACTGGCCTCATTCACACGGATTGGAGTCTGCTTTCTGTCGTCCACCTACCATGACATCTTCCACTTACGAGCCGAGGCTCGTCCTCGCCCAGACCTTCCCACAGCCCTCGTCCTACGCAGTTGCCACCCTGGGGCAAAGCGTCATGCGCACCTCCCCATTCGTCCTGTATTCGAGGATTGTCGCAGATAGATCTCGCAAGGAGCTTGGAACGCAGCAACTCGTACTCCTCTGGCAGAGTGCAAGTGGCAGTGACGTGCGTCCTCATGAACGCATCTGACCACGAGTGTGGAGAGTATCCATGGCTCCAATGACGCAATCAGCTGAACGTCGGTTTAGGTTTTGTTAGGCGCTTGTTTGTTGTGGTCTATCGCATAGATTACTTATTTCGTTTTCTTGTCGTCTCCCATTACTCTCAAGTGTTTACCGCACCTTCTATTTCGTGATTAATGTGTTATTTAGTAGTTTGAACATGTCTAATTAGATCCCAGTATTGAGTAATTTGCAGACCGCCTTGTATCGCCCGCAGTTATGATGAGATGAAAGACGCCGAGTGGTAACAATTCAAATTTTGGGAGTAAGAAGGAGCGCTGAGGACAGCCCCTTAGAATATGATAGCCAAGCGCAGAAACGCGCTGAAGGTAAAGGGATAAGGACCCAGGCGTTACCGCGTAGCATCCAGGCTGCTGGCGATAAAGATCCCTCCTCTTCGACCTTGCCAAGAGCTCAACACGACGCCAAGCCACCCTGGCATGTCACCGATGGGTAGTACCCACGAGAGATTCGGGGCGACCGCATCGCAACAGGCGGAATGGACGTTTTGGGAAAACGCGCGCCAAGTGACAGATGGAAATCGATCTGGCGATTTCGGGGAGCCGACGCAACCGGCATTTCAAGTGAAATGAACATTAGATAGAATGAAGAGGATAGACGGGTATACGGATTGGCGCCCAGTATACCAGACGCTGTAATTTCCACATTTAACATTGCTACTTCATGACCGCAATGCTGCTTTATGAAGCTGGTACTGAGCCATCTTTGCCTACTGCACTTAAAAAGGTATACTCGTAGGCTCTCCGAAGCCTCTGACACAACTCAGGTGAGCGTCCCATTCAACGTTCCAATGTTTCGGTTTGCGACATATGTGTAGCATTACCTCGGAATAAATATAGCATCA